TCAACCGTACGTCTTGCCATGTGTACGTCAGGCTGAGAAGCGGCTAGTTGAAAAGAAGCTCAACCACGAGTATGCTGGAATTGCTGGTAGGGACTCTAGTTCAATAATCATTACAGGGCGCTATAGCAGTACGGGAGCCGCAAACGTCTTAGGATTTCTTGTGGGGTCATGCTCCCCGGTGACAAGACAATCGTAATATGTCTCACTGGTGGGCGTGGTGAGCGACGTCGCGCACTAGAGAGACGAGTTGTCTTGCCTACCGCTGCTCCATTCGACAAACTGATACGTAAAGAACCTGCCACGCACCGTCGCAGGATGCGCCGCGCGCGACTGCGCGGCAAAGTTGCTTGTCTTATCTGTCATTCTCACATAAAATAAATTTAAGAAATGACGTGGAAACGGTGATCTCTGGGGAGCGATTTACTTGTCATTGATGGGTCGGGAAAAATCATGCAGCAGGGCGTTAATCAATGTCAGGACCGGGGTTTGGGGGAAAATTCTTTCAATACAACACTCCCGCTATCATTCTCCCAAATGTGACGCCCAACTACCGAGCCTTAGCTGGACGCCCAAGACAGGGTAGTAGGTATACAACTCTTCTGAATTAGGGTGCGTACACAATTGGAATAATTTTGGCTTGAGGGGGCATTTTGCACATTTCCAAGTTCATGTTAATTGACAGGTCTAATTTTGGCGAAACCTGTAAAATCATGTGAAGATGCAAAATGGTGCTAGTGAACCACTTTGGTTACAAGAGTTTACAGGTTTCGGCTTCGCTGAGTACCATTTGGTGCCCCCACCAAGCCGATCTGCGGCCCGAAATATGACTTCGCCTCGAAGTCTCCCTTTCACTTGGCCCTGGTCCGAATCGATGCTATACGTCGTCACACGACGTCCTCTTATAGCCATAGGATCGCTATCGTCCGACGACAACTTTCGGTGTAGACCCTTGCGCCTCATAGTAACTGCACTAACCAGTATTTTCTAACCAGTTATTTTCTTTTCCTTGTGGTAAAACCCGGTCTTCTTTGAAGGAATACCCGATTTCACGAAGGTTGCCGCAAGATTGGCATTGGGAGATGAATCTGAAGTGATCCAGTCCGGTCGGATAACAACAATGCAGAGCATCTCCGGAACCGGTGCTTTGCGAATCGGATCAGAATTCCTTGTGAGTTTTTTTTCTTCCATTTTGAAATTTTGTGTAGAATTACCTTGGTCAAACTATCCAAGATTTTAGGCCAAGTACCATCCGACCAAAGGTGGTATACAGCGCCACAGCCCACATGGGGAAACCATAGTTTCCAATTGTGTTCAAGTAAGTAGCCATAATTTCATCCAGATAATTGGGTGTTGAGTGCATGGGAGGGGCACATCATGTTCCTGAGACACGGCAAAACGCATTCGTGCTTGTCTAGGTGGCGGGGATGTCCGAATACTGGCTGGTTTTCAACGCCTGAGTAAGCCTATTTAATAAACACGACACGCTATTCGGTGAGAGGGCACAGACGATCAGACATGATGTGACTTAGCTGTAGAGTGTCCCCTTCTTGGACACAGAGTCCTTGGTTTGCCTAAATAGTGTTCAAAGCTCTAGAATACCGTTTTCAGATTTGGACTGAGTAGAGTGAAACTATCGCTACTACGACAAAAACACATGTGGATTCGACGAGGCAGGAGCTCTTGCCGATATCGCTGCTATTCCTAAAGGATCGATCATTCTTCTTCACGCCTGTGCTCATAACCCTACTGGAGTCGATCCCTCTGTGAGTATTTCCAAGGTGTGGGATAAACCGTAGGCGGGAAAGGATTCGCTTCTTCTGAAAGAATGACTGGAATTTGAGCACAATTTGGCAGGGAAGGGGGCTTGAAATATTCTTTCAGGGGAGTGGTAATTGCGGTGGGGAGACTTAGAGAAGGCGCGTCGCACGCTGGAGATCCCAGCGAGCTGGCTGTAGATCCCGTTTTCGCCCGACGGCAGTTTTTTTTATTTTTTTCTGAAGACGATAAGAACGATGGAGTGGTGGAAAGTGAGTGTACCAGAAGAGGAAATTTTAAGAGAGGAGCATCAATCTTCCCTCCACCCCCCCCCCCCCCCTCCAACTGGACATAGTGATGCTCTCGTGTGGCCCTTCCGGGCAGGACATGGGCCCTGTTCGGAAGTGCCACTCGACGGCGCCACTGTGACCGTCCCAACGCCTGCAGAAGACGTACCAGTACAAGAAAGTATAGCCACGTACCCCCTCTCACTATCTCCAATCAAAAGATTTCTGGTCAGGGGATTATTCAACACGGTTGCGAACGTTTTCAACAAATTGACTTTGTAGAAGGAACAATGGAAAAAGATCTCGGAAATCTGCAAGAAGAACGAGCTGTTCGTCTTCTTCGATATGGCCTACCAAGGATTCGCGTCAGGAGATGTTGATGGTGATGCCTATGCTGTGCGGTATGTATGACCATTTTCTTGTTATTCTTTGGGCGCTTGTAACCTTGGTGGGTGCCACTCCTGTAAGCGCTTGTCATCATACCAAACACTATATACGTGGATACAGAACAAACTTGTCAACACCTGTGAGAATCTGTTATCACCTGTCAAGCACCTCTGTAAACTTTTGCCGAGCTTGTCAAAGTGACTGGTCGAAATTTGTAAGAAAAATGGCGTCTCAATAATGCTAGTACAATTTTGCCTAGCTTTGCAGAAGTTTACGGTAATTGACAGGACTTGCAGAGTAAGACACGATTAAGATGGGCAAAAGAAAATAGCAGAAGCAAGGAGGTACATTGACATGCACTCACAGGTGTGGCTCCCCGAAAATATTAGCCCCTTCCTCACTTTCCATTCATGAATATGAATCTGCTTCCAATGGAATATCGCTCTTTTGTACATTTTCTTTTTCAGTTATTTCATCGAACAAGGACACAATATCTGCCTTGCTCAGTCATTTGCCAA